GTAGCTACGTCCATCTTTTATGCAGTCTATGGTGTTACCCCAAAAACAAGAGTGCCCTCTGGTGGCTTTTAGTGTAAACTGTATTTAATTTTCCACCCGGTTACATATGTATAGATTAGTTGCCAGAATTGCACTATATTTTGCGTTATGTTATAAAAGACAAATCAGTACAGATACTGAAATATACTTTAACAGATACCAATGTTTAACTGGTTCAATGCCTGTAGTGAGATAGATGAGTGAATATGAAAAGAACCATCCTGCTGTGGTGTATGTGGACTAAACACTGTGAACTAAACAAAAGGACACTGAAACAGAAACATACACACACTTACTTCCATGAAAAGGAATTGAATTATTTAAGTGGTTCGATATCACTTCTGAATGGGCCAACAAGGAACCTGTCTGTCAACGCACACTTCCTTTGTGGTGTGCAAACTCCAAGCTGCAAGTCATGTAGTATACAGCATATCTAAATATTTCTATTACAATCAAAGCATTTTTTGGGGAACAAAACTAACACTACAAGTTATACAAGCCAAATAGACACTCAGTTTAGGCTACAAAGTACTTTAGAAAGGGATGTCCAAGCATGATTTACAGATAGATGGTATGGATGTGATAGTCAGTATTATACTGACACCCCATGGTGAGCGTGGTGAGTGAAAACTGACAGAGGAACAGAATTGTTTGATACTGACATGCAACATCTCAGCCATACGGGAAGTACTGCTTTACCACAAAGTAGGCCGTGACACTTCAGCGCTTGATGATTGCGATTGACGGTGAGGTGTGTGACCTTTATGTCTGCGTTTAAAATTATGTGCAGTGCCTATAAAAAGTATTCACCCCCCCTCTTTTATGTGAAATGAAAACAGATTTTTACAAAGCAATGCCATTTATTTAAAAATGTAAAATAAATGATTGCATAAAAACTCACACCTAATTAGTCAGTATTTCGTAGATACACCTTTTGCTGCGTCTGTGGCATTGAGGGATGAATACTAAGCACTGTGTGTGTATGCATTTTAGTATTTTCAGCAAGAATTAAGCTGTCAAAAAGCTTCTTTCCATTTACATCTCAAAGAGTGACTGTCAGTAGAGAATGTGCCAGTTTGTGGTTAATAGGCGGGGTTCACAGAGATATTTAAAAAAGCCTATAGCTTCCCTTCATGCCCCGCAATCACGTCACACTAGTTTTAAAAAGATCTGCGGTGAAGCTGAACAAAGGACTTGATAGTAATTGGTTTTAAATGTGAGTTTGATTTTAGTTCTACTTATTTTAAATGCTATCATGAGTAAATAAACTAATGCGTGCTTCAAACATAGCTGTATTTAAGACCATCTTGACATATTGTGCATATTTTAAATTGGAAGAGAAAATCCACTTTCGTGTATACTCATCCAGTTTTCCCTGCACATACTGTAAACAATCACAGTTTGGTTGGCATTGAGCACATTATCTAGTCTTGCCAACATATTAACATCTTTGCAAGTTCTTTCAATTCCCTAAACACTCCGTCACTTTTCAGCACAAATCAGCAGTTCAAATTCATGCTGAGAACACGCACATCTGACTGTGGTTCACCAGCACATTTCCTGTTGCTTCAACAAGAAAAAAGCAGATGTCACACAGGAAAGCTGTTCTCCTGAGGTGAGTTTAGAAATGAATTTGTCACAAACACGCCCAACTCGTTTGCAGTTTGTTTCCTTTAATGAACTTCGCTGCACAGCAAGATATGACTCAACTCAGCAACTCAGCCGTTACATGCAATGTTCACTGAAAAATGTGGCTTTTCAAGGTCTTCGGTGTCGTATGTAAGTGTTTAACCTTTTTTTTAAAACTCAATTTATAAAGAGTATTTTGACATACATTCAAATCTGATTCCTACTTATCGTGTATCATTGTTTGATTTGACAGATTTGACGGCTGTTTGTGGTGCTCAGGATGGTAGCGATGGTAGGGGAAAACAATCTGACACACTGAAAAAGACATTGTGTTGTATTTGAGCAAACTGCACGGATTTGACAGTTTAAAGCTAGTTTGACATATTTTCATTTCATCAGAAACAATAGTGTTGACTGCAAAAAAAACCCCACAGAGTTGGTTACTGTGATAGCAAACTAATTTGTTCAGTTTATATTGAGTGATTAAATGCTTTTCATAAAAAAGATGTTTAGAAAGCAGAACATGGATAAAGTTAACATGAGGAAGTGTTTTGTTGTCATGCTGGCAGTTCCTACAGGTAGTCGCCAACTATTGCAAGTTGTTCTCAGTGTTCTGGAACACCAACCTTACATGCTGAGTTGGTTATGCTTTACAAAGCATAACCATGTAGTGTCCCTATTCTTATGTAATGGGATTGCAATAATAAAATTACACATGACAATACATTATGTAGTCCTGCAATATGCTGTTTATAGTGTTAGTTTTTGATGGAATTTCTTAGCGGTGTTTCAACTGAGGAAATGTCTAAGAACGCAGTTTGTCATGTGTTCCTGTTATTTTGTCCACCGATTATGTCACTCTCATGCATTATTGCAGCAGCTTTTTTGATTGCAGTGCCATCAAAATGATTTATTTAACCCTCCTGTTATGTTCTTTTCTCAGGAACAGCAATATGTTATGTGGGCCAATTTGACCCAGGGCATGTTAAATTATCCAAAAGTGTCAGAAACCAAAAAAAAAACCTAATAAACATTGTTTATATGTCGTTATTAACTCCATTACTAACCATTCAATCAATAGTTAGTGCAATGGTGTTCTTTACCTCTCACAGATCATAGTTCAATGAGCATAATTCACACGTTTTCAAAACAAAAATGTATATTAAGACCTACACATAAAACACAATAGTTTTACATGACATTCATTTTTTTCAAAATTCAGTTTTACATTTTGAAATTGTCTCTCTTTGATAAATTAACATGAGAGACCTCTTCTGTTTGGGGTCACTGACCCGCTGACTTAAAATCAAGACAAATGAGACATGAGGATTTGAACAGTCATTAGACCAGCCTTGTTTTCTTCAATTTCTTGTTCATTTTAGTGCTCGGTACCACTAAAGGTACTTTTGTTGGGACAAATATAACGATAACAACAAAAATAGCTCATAAGAGTCTAATTTAAGAGTTGATATCTTGCCATTTTCCATGGTTTTCTTGATCATAACCAAAATCACTTAAGTTCTTACAACAATGACATTGTACTGCCAAAAACACGTGCTTTTAGAATTCCATGTTTTCTTTTTCTGTCTGTTTTAGTCACATGATACACACAGGAGTTAGTACTTGATTGCATATCCATCGTTTCTGATGACTGAGCCATGCGTCCAGGCATGTTCTCCACCAGCTTCTGACATTGTTCTGCTGTCACAGCAGCCCATTCCTGTCGCACAAATTCAACAAAAATTTGCTTTGTTTTGGGGCTTGTGGTTCTCCATTTAGTGTTTGATGATTTTCCATGGGTTTTCAATTGGATTGAGATCAGGTGACTGAGCAGGCCAAGGCATGGTTCCAGTGTTCTGGTTCTCCATCCAGGCTTTAACTGATCTCGTCGCGTGGCAAGGGGCATTGTCTTGTTGGAAAATCCAGTCATTAGAGGCAGGAAAGCGTTTTCCAGCTGATGGGAGAAGACTGTTTTCAAGAGTAGCCCTGTACATGAAACAAGCCCAGATCATCACTGATCTACTCCCATGTTTTACTGTAGGGGCAAGACAGTCTGGTCTGTAGGCTTCTCCAGGCTTCCTCCTAACCAATAAGTTGGCTGGAGTGGGCATCAACTGAAAATTGTAATCCTCACTGAAGAGAACCTTAGTCCAATCATCAACAGTTCAATCCTTGTGATCCCCAGCAAAGAGTAAGCGGGCTTCCCTCTGCCTTTTGTTGATGAAGGGCTTCTTCTGTGCCCTGGGTGACTTCAGACCAGCTTCAAGGAGTCGGTTTCCAACCGTCCTTGCTGAACAAGTCACATTTCTCGACAGTGCCCCCTCATTTTTAAGGTCCTTGGAGATCTGACGACGATTCCTGGCGCAGGAACAGTTGAGTGCATCTCATGGGGTAGAAAGGATGTTTCCTGCTACAACTAGCTAGCACTTTGGTGGTACCATGTTGGGCTTGTTTTTTCTTGGTGTAATGAACGGCTGTCTTGAGATCTTCAGTTTTTTCGCTACCTGTCTCTCACTCATGCCAATTTCCAGCAGTGCCAACCTTTGTGGCTTCACATAATTCTTTTGTTTTAGGCGTTATGTGAGAGCTGACAACTTCTGAGTTGTGCTACGGCTTGAATGTAAGCAGGAAATCACTCAAGGCCTTTGCATGTGCAGTGCTGCTCATGACATTAAATGGCCTCTTTTATACCCTGAGAATACAATTAAGATTAAGCATGTCAAATAGGACAGAAAATATTATGTAATCATTTTTTTCTAGTGTTCATTGTATTCTTCAGGCAGTATACCTTTAGTGATATCAGGCCCTTAAATGAACAAGAAATTGAAGAAAGCAAGGGTGGTCTAATATTAACATTGTGGCACGAAATATAATCCTTCCTGTATGAGTTGAGCATGACCAGCTCCAAAGCTGACTTGATGTCTGTCACACGAGTCACTGCCATCCTACTGGGCCCTGGTGGGCACTGTCTTTATTGTGTTTTCTGCAGACAGTTTTGCCTGACGTGTATTTGGGCATGAAGATCACTATGTTTCACTATTTTCTGACATAAATGTCTTGCTTGGAGGAATATAAGTAGCAGTTTTCTCATTTGGATCATAATCAGAACCATCAGACTCATAATTGACCTGAGATGGTCTTCACCTTCAGATACATCCGCCTCTATTTCACCGTCATGATCAAAGATAAGCTCTGGAGCCTCTAGGGCTGTCATCTGTTCACCTCCGCTGCTCATTCTGTAAAGAGAGTATAGCATATGCAGCTGCAGAGCATAATGTTGGTAGGACTCTGTTGCAGAGAATCTTTGTGTGTGTGGGTGTGTGCGTGCATGCGTGCATGCATGTGTGTGTGTGTGTGTGTGTGTGTGTGTGTGTGTGTGTGTGTGTGTAGTACGTCTCACAGTTGCAAAGAAACAAATAGTATTTGACACTTCTGACCCCTTTTAACCGCCACTTTGACTGCCAGGTCAAATTGACCCGAACAATATCTATGTAATACAAATGAAATGAACAGTTTTCATTTTACATGTTCATTACACTTACTAAGCCAAGCAGAAGAAGTTTCATACTGAAAAAATACTTTTAACAATTCTTTAAAAAAGGTTTAAACTTTTAAAACGGGTCAATCTGACCCACAATATAACAGGAGGGTTAATTAGGTTCAAATTCAATCGAGTGTTTCATACTTGGTCATTAATTTTAAGCTTTCACTGATGATTATTTTATCTATAAATTACCATTTATTGTTAATTATAACCACAGTTTTTTGTTCTCCACTCATCCACCAGCCACCCGCCTTCCCACAGTTCCTCCTCAAACCACTGCTCTGCCAAAAGTGACCACACCTGTCTATGGTAAGGTTTTATGCTCCGAGGCTTTTACCCTATATAGCAATCTAAAGTGAAATTGATCATGTGGTTTCTTTTCATTCTGAAGGGTTTCGTTTTTTTTTATATTCCCATGATAGTGCAAAAAAAAAAAAGTAGATGTTTTAAAAAGCACAGGTGATGCATTTCCCTCGTGCACATTTTCATTGTCACCCCGTATTAATATTTACATGTCAACAGAATGAAAAATGACACCTTAAGAAATTAAATTCAAACACTTAAAAGCTACGATTCAACAAATGTCACCTGTGAAAGCATCATGAGCTTTGTTGAAAAATTCTAGCAGCTATTGTTGTTTGCAATCTGGTTTGTATCCACAGAACTTCATTGCTACAGTTATCTTCCTGTAAGACAACAACAGTAAAACGTCATTGCATTCATATATTGACTAGATTTTAATGTGGAATTTGCAAGTATGTGTTTCGAGCTGATGATTAAAAGTCAAGCGTACTTCCTATGTCATATATGAACCATATTCTTTTACTTTTTAAATACAATTTCAGTTCCTCCTGTACCAAGTCTGCAGCAAGTGTCAACCTGGTCGGATGTCTTCCCGTCTGAGAAAGTGGAGTTTCGCTGTACTGTCAGTGACAGCTCTGACTGGACTTTCACATGGTACAGAAGTGGAAACAAAATAGATTCAGATCCAAGTCTGTCTTTCTCTGGAGATGGATCTGTGCTTACAATCACTTCAGCGACAGGAGGAATCTATTCCTGTAAAGGTCAACACAAAACAAATGGTGTCATGACTCAAAGTAGTAACTCACTCCAACTGAATGTTTATGGCAAGTATTGTTGCATTTGATTATATTCATTTTTGCTGTACTTCTGTAGATTGTACATACAATAAATAAAATGTTCCCTCTTATTTCCTTCTGAATAGGAAACAAACCCAAGCCCAAGCTGAGCCAAAGTTCAAACTATCCTGAGATGTTCCCCGGAGAATCTATCACCTTCACATGCACGGTTGACGTGTCTACTGGATGGGAATATCTGTGGTACCATAATGGACAAGAAATTCCAGCAGCTGACGGCAAGACTTATCCAATAACTTCTTTGGATCACTCTAAGAGTGGACAGTACCAGTGCAAAGCAAAGAGAGGAAAAGACCCATTCTACACAGAGGCGAGTGAAACTACAACTCTGCGAGTCGCTGGTAAGCAAATCTATGTACCATGACACCAGCTAGACGACACTACACTAAATCAGTTCATTCACATCCATCTACATGAGCATGTGTGCATTGTTTTGATGCATGCCTTGATGATACACATAACACCTTTCTGTTTTCCTTTCATGCTGCAATTGATTGACCATTTAATATGAAGATTTGTGTGAATGTTTTCAGACCCACCGACACCAACTCTGAAGCTGGTCAGTCCCTGGTTAGACGTGTTTGAAAATGAGATGGTGGAGTTCAGCTGTGAAGTCAGCAGCTCTGACTGGACGTCCACATGGTATAGAAATCAAGAGAACCTTGAGAACACGGACATAGAGTTTAACATGGATGAAGAGGGATCAACACTCAACGTCACTTCGATCACCAAAGCAGCTCAAGGGGACTATACCTGCAAAGCTCACCTGACATCCAGAGGCGTCAACTCTGGATTCAGCAACAGCGTTAAAGTCAGTGTTTACGGTCAGTTTTCATGTTTTTTTATTGTTGCATGACATTTACTTTACATAAATTCAGCTTTTCTTAAATTGGCTGCAGTTGATTTTTTTTTTTTTTTTTTTTAAATAACGATTAAAGAAATGACAGTGTGAAAGCAATGCGGCAATGTGAATGCCAATCACGAGGATACATTTAGAAAATAACCCGTAAAAAACAGCTCCTCTCAAACTTCAAATGAATGACAATCCTGCTGCATAACATGATGGATGTGTAAATAAGTAAATGTTTGCCAAGTAGTTCAACATAACGTTAATATGTCATTGATGTGCTCACACTTTGCTGCCCTCAAATGACCAAAATATAGTTAGCTACTGCAGGTTTAAAGAAATTATTTTAATATTTTGGGGTTATACATGATGGTAAAAGTGATGTTGAACTAACCGAATGACAGGTAGCTTTACATTTACAGCACAGATAAACAAGTTTCCAATCTCCTCATCCCTCATAAATAAGCCTAGTTTCCTCACTGTTTGTCTTTCTTTTAAAAATACAGTCATTTGAATATGCCATTAAAAAAAAAAAAATTACACATAATTTGAGAGGTCAGAATGATGTAGTATTTGTCGACTATATCATTAATGCGAACATTCAAATATGTGTTTATAAGGAGGTGGTGTACGAGGCACAATATTCTGAGAGGTGTTTTTCATTCTCTATATTTACATAAATGAGGGTAACAGAATGTTAAAAGCACATCTGAATCTAATGTCGTCAACATCATTTGCCTCAAAAAAAGTAGACTTAGGGACAAAACAGTCGTATATGGTTGCAGCATCTTGTACAGGAGCATCTCATAATACAGCTACATCACAAGCCTTGAGGTATGGTGTAGAAATAACATACTACTTGTCTGTTTCAGATAATGTACCAACACCAACACTGAGCAAGGATGGTTTCAATTCCATGTATGTTGGAGAAACAGTAAACTTCACTTGCAAAGTTACTGTGTCCTCTGGCTGGACGTATCAGTGGTACAAGGATGAAAAAGCTCTGACTCACACTAGCCCAACCGTCAGCATCTTTCTTGGTCTTCCTGATGAAGGGATGTATTCTTGCAAGGCAACCAGAGGTGAAACAGAAACAAAGTTCAGTGAGAAAAAGCAACAAGATGTTCTTGGTAAGTATAATATAGTATAGTTTTGTTCTAAGTATGTACAGTCTTTTACGAGAAGTTGTATTTTTGTGTTGTCATGCTACCGTAAAAAAAACCCCAAAAAAAGCTGTTTTAAATTCAGTGAAAGAGTGTCATGAGAACATCTTTAGAGCATCATGCTTCCGTTATTTTATGCATTTTCTATGAAACAGGATGTTGAGGTGTAGCATAAAGCACGGAGAGATGCCTCACACGTGGGCAGTGTATGCATGTTTGTATAAAGGTGAAGTTCTTAGCTCAAAAAAAAAAAATCTTTCCTTAATGACTTACAAAGTGAGACAGCTACACTTGTTCCCAAAGTCCACAGAACAAAAAGTCACCAACCTAATTTTACTGACTAAACCACGAAAATCACTGTGAGTTTTAGCTCTGTGTATAAGATTTGTAAAATGGTGAATGTGTCTCTCTTTCTTTAGAAATCCCTGTTCCATCTTTGGAGTTGAAAACCAAGTGGTCGGATGTGTTCCCCACTGAGGCTGCGGAGTTGAGATGTGGGATGCAGAAGGGCTCAGGCTGGACGTATACATGGTACAAAGACAAAGTGGAGGTCCAGGCTGATAACTCTGTGTCTTTTGACTCAGAAAGAGCAACTCTTTCCATCAACTCTGCTTCTCCGGGTAAACATGAAGGACAATATGAGTGTAAGGGACATCTCCGGGACAGGGCTGTCAGCAGCAAGTCAAGTTCTCCAGTTAGTCTCACGGTGTATGGTGAGTTTTCCTCTTTTTAACTGACAAAAAAAATCTGGTAACACTTTATAATAACTATCCCTTATAACTAGTTAATAGATCGTTTGTCAACTGTTAATTAGTGAGTTATTAACCACTTGTTAAGTGTTTGTTAATAGTTTGTTGATGATTTATAACGATGCCTTACAGATAGTTAATAAACCATTTACAAACTGTTAGTTAATGAGTTATAAATGACTTGTTAACTGTATATTAATGATTTACAGCCATACCTTATAAACCAGTCATAGCTCATGAACAAGCCATTAGTGAATTACTTGCTAATGACTTGTTAAGTATCAGTTAATAGTTTACATATGTTATTGGGACGTTATTCTAAAGTTGCAACTATTCCTCATTTACCAGCAGTTAATAAATGAGGAATAGTTGCAACTTTAGAATAGCGACCCAATAACATATATAAACTATTAACTGATACTTAACAAGTCATTAGCAAGTAATTCACTAATGGCTTGTTCATGATCTATGACTGGTTTATAGGGTATGGCTGTAAGTCATTAATATACAGTTAACAAGTCATTTATAACTCATTAACTAACAGTTTGTAAATGGTTTATTAACTATCTATAAGGCATCGTTATAAATCATCAACAAACTATTAACAAACACTTAACAAGTGATTAATAGCTCACTAATTAACAGTTTACAAATGATCTATTAACTAGTTATAACGGATAGTTATAATAAAGTGTTACCAAAAATCTACACTTATTTAGTGGGGGGTTTATAAAAGGGAATGTATTCTTAAGTTTAGGTACACATACCGCAGGGGGGTGTATATTTCTAAAGGGCTGCGAAAGGCCAGCTTGTTTTTACAGTAGATACAGCGTAATTTTGCATACTAATAGCGATTTCACGCCTATGCTCCTTCAGATAAGAAACCAGCTGTGGTACTGACGCAGGACCCTGAGTACGAGGTGATGTTTCCTGGAGAATCTGTCACCTTCAGCTGTCACATTAACGTCTCCACTGGATGGGAATACCTGTGGTACAATGACAGTGTTCCCATTGGTGTATCAGAGAACAAATATTCAGTTAACTCCATTGGCCCAACAAGCAGAGGATCGTATACATGCCAAGCAAAAAGAGGCACTAACTCCCCCTTCACCACTGACTCAAGTAACGGTATACGCCTTGAGGTTGACGGTAAGTTTCTGTTTCCTCTACATGTTCAGTTGTGGCATGCAGACGTGTTTCTGTTCTGCATCTCTGGTTATGGTCATATTATCTAAGTGGTTGCTGCTGCTACAGCAAAATTCCATGCAGAAACATTTCTTCTGTTTTTATGTGTTCAGAGAAAAAGCCAAAGCCCTTGATGACTCAACAGCCAGCTGCTGATAAGCTGTACACTGGGGAGTCAGTGTCCTTTGAATGCAAAGTTGGAATCTCATCTGGTTGGAGCTATTACTGGTTCAAAGATGGAGCCCTACTCCCTTATTCCAGCAACGATTTTCAAATTGTTAATGCCAATTCATTGGACAACGGGACTTATGAATGCAAGGCCGTAAGAGACAAAACAATGTTCAATACAGAGCTCAGTGATGGACGCATTTTAAGCATATCTGGTGAGCCATATGAAGTTTCTTTGTATTGATGCTTTGTGGTGTGTGTTGCTGCTGCATTTATAGATTTCATGCCTAATCTCCAAGGACATGTAGAATAGTTCATGTGTCTCTCTTTCTTTAGAAATCCCTGTTCCGTCTTTGAAGCCAGTAACCCAGTGGCTGGACGTGTTCCCCGAGGAGGGTGTGGAGTTGAGCTGTGGGATGCCTGAAAGCTCTGAATGGACATACACGTGGTACAAAGACACAAAGGAGGTCCAGGCTGATGAGAAGCCTCATTTTGGCAAAGACAAAGCTACTCTTACTTTCAAATCGGCGTCAACCTCGCACCGTGGAAAATATAGGTGCTCAGGAAAACTGAAGAGCAGATCTGTCAACAGCAACCCGAGTTCTGAAGTAACACTTCATGTTTATGGTGAGTTTTTTTTTTCTTCATTTTTTAACACAGCTCTCTAGAGAAAATGTTTTTTTTTTCAAGATAGTTGTTTTTTGTTTTGTTTTTTTCAAAATAAAAAAAGTGGCCAGTAGAGGCTGCATTAAGCAGAAACAGAAATAGGAGTTATAGAGAAAGTCATTCTGTTAAAATACTAATATTCGCTTTCTTGCCAAGAGTTAAACTGTTTATCATGTTTGATATGAAGCTACAGCAAAGAGACCGTTGGCTTGAAGATTTGGAGAAGGGAATTATTTAGCCTGACTCCTTACAAAGGGAATAAAATCTCCAGGCAGCCAATACATGGACAAAGACATTGTTTTTTTTACAGGTCTTATCATGATAAGTGTTCGTATTGGTGTCTTTGCTGTAGCTTCATAAAGATAAAGGTACCATTTTCACATAACTCTCTCTTCAAAAAAGCAAATAAATAAATAACTACTTTGGGCAGATAGAAAGCGTTCTTTCTTTACAGTTTTTTTTTTTTTTTAATTCTGATGAGGAACTAGACCTCAGCATATGAACGTATCTATTTAAAGCACTGTACAGTAGTCAAAGAACAGCTTCTTCTAACACTGAGTTATGCAGTGTGATTTGCTTTTAAATGCAGTTGTGCTTAATATTGTTTTTTATCATCAACCCTCAGATACAAAACCTAGAGTTACACTGGTGCAGAATCTCGACCACAGTCTGATGCACACTGGAGATCCGGTCTCCTTTAGCTGTCATGTTGATGGCTCCTCTGGATGGGAGTATCTGTGGTACAAAGATAGAAGTCCACTTGACATATCTGGAGTCTATCACAATATCAGTTCTGTGGAGAAGGGAGGCAGTGGATCATATGAATGCAAAGCTAAAAGAGGAAAGAAAATGGTCTTCAACACAGGCTGGAGTCAGGCTGTCAAGCTTGACATTAAAGGTGCGTTTTTTTTTTGACTACCTCCTTTCATTCTTCTGGTGTTTATTATTGTGCTGTAGCTCTAAAAACTACTGTCAAATGCTAATTTTCCTTCAGGCACAATGAAGTCTTAATGTGTGCTATCAGAGGTTTTACTGTGTTTGTTGCAGAGCGCCCTAAGGCTAGTATAATCCTGAAAACTGGATGGTCTGAAGTCTTCTCCACTGATAGCTTGGTGCTCGAATGTAAGGTGGAAAGCGAGTACAAGAACTGGACTTTTAAATGGTAACACTGGTAACAACAAACTTTTATGAAAATCAACAACAAACCGAAAACTTCAAGGAAATTATTTTAAAACAGGTCGAAAGGGAGGGAACTGATCAACACGTCTAGCTCTGAGAGACACGTAGCCACGCCGCACAATGATCCAGAACAGAGCGATTACACTTGCCAGGGCATTCGCAACAGGAGACCATTATACTCCCGAAGCAGTGATTCTTTCACGACCAGAAACCTCCGTAAGTATGAAGTGCGGAAGCTTTGAATGTTTGCCCAACAAATATTCTGTCTCACTTTAATTGCTGTCTTTATTTTAAACATGTAGTTTTAAAGAGGAGGATGCTTCTCTCCATCTCTGGCTGTCTCTTCTTTGGCATCATCGTCGTCTTTCTTGGATGCATCGTTCTCAGATTCACCCGCAAAAAAGGTGTTGCTTCAACTTTTTTAATGGGCACTAATTCTTAAAAAATCTGCAACATTAAAGTGACTGTAGCTAATATCATATTGTAGGTATGAAATATTGATGACAATGTGATCACTCATAGTTAAGGAACCTACAGAAAAGCGTCGCCTAAATCTGTAACTTCCTTTGACTTCGTGGAGCCAGATCAGTTTTGGTTCCTTCTCATTGCTCTCATATTTTCTTACCGGGCTGCAGTATGCAGCTGTTTTTAGCAAAAAAAAAAAAAGTTTCCAGGAACTCACTGTCCAGAACTAGACAAGTAGAAACTTGCTAATAAAAGCATTTGGTAGCTAAAAATCAGATATTCTTCTCAGAAGTTAGTGGAGTCCAAAAACGATTGCAGGGTGAGAGAGATGTGACACCCATTTAATCTGTACTTTAATCTGACAATGAACCAACAAAAGCCAAGAGTTGACCTACTATCTCTTTTGTTTTTTTCTTTTCCCACATAGCTGAAGTTGATGAAAACCCAGAAGAGGCCAACCTCTTTCTCACCATGGCTCAACTAAAAGAATGTGCCGGTATGATGACACCAATTACGGTTTTTTTGGTTGCCCTTCGCGAACATGCGGCAAATACAGCCAAAACCACTGATTCAGTCCGGAGCTATTTCTGAAATTAGCTTGTGAAACTACCTGCTGACACTAAAGCTTGGGTTGGACTTTTACAGTTAGTGCTCACATTGAAGTTCCTTCCTTTTTCCTGCTACAGACGCACCCTGTCCTCTGGTTGAATACATCACTGATGCAGATCTGGATGCACCGCCAAAAGGTAAAAATAAAAAAAAAAACAAAACCCCAAATATGTCTAAAACAAATGACTTACTTACTGACTTTCTAATAAAGTAAATAAACTAACGATTATTATCAATTCATCTGCTGAGTATTTTGTCAATTATCATTTTGAGTTCAATAAAATGCCAGAAAATTGTAAAACCAGTTTCTCAGAAATAAAGATGTTGCCCTTAAAGGTGCTGTTTTATCCAAATATATTAAATTTACTACCACAGAATACAACTAAAATCATGCACCAGGCTGTTGGCAGGGACCTGTTCTTCTTCTTTTTTTCTTTTTAAACCTGTTTATTTGTTTGTTTATTAAATGCTAACAGTTCTTTTCTTGGTTGCTTTGTTAAAAACAATCTATTTTACAGAAGGAGATGAGAACGGCACAGTTTGCAGCGAAACAACACCATTACCAATAACCTCGCCGGAGGACAAAGGTAATATCGTTAAACTACAGATGCACTTTTCTAATGAGAACTTCCATCTTTGTAATACGAATGCCGTACCAGTTCCTCTATCGCACAGACATAATGCATTCCTCTTTATGTCTTCAGCTGTGACAAGCGACAACAATGATACAACAGAAAACGGCGGCGGGCTGGTTTCCTTTCAGCAATGAGTCAGTGAAGATGTGGTCACATCATTTTAGCAAATAACTATAAACAAGTCAACGCACTTGATTCAGCCCTGTGAGGCTTTCAATGGTCATTACGCGGCATAGAACAGCATTTCTGGATAAGAGAGACTATGTTGAAACTGTGCAATCCTCACCACCGTGGTAATCACTGCACATCTAAGACTCAGCTTGTCTGGCTCAGGTCTACTGGCCTGTCACCTTGTTTACATTAGTCTGAAAGTACAGCTGAGGATCATTATTTTATTTGATATTGCTTTAAAGGTCAATAATTTTAGAACGCCTGTGTGGACACATGGAATCTTGACTTGTCTGCCGTGCTGGATAAAAATTGTGCAAACTAATTAGGATTCCTTCTTTGAATACGATAAACACAGGTGCCAAATTTCATGGTAATTCATTCAACAGTTGCTGAGATATCCCACTCTGGAGCGAAGGGCTGGCTAACAGCCGTGTACAGATTTGATCAAAACACAAAAGTCCTTGGCAGCACAAACCTGATCAGGAATTGTACATATTTTAATTCACATCATTGTTTGAATTAACAGCACTGTTAAATATGAAACATTATTTGTGTGATAATCATTAGTCATTGTTAGTTTTCAATTATTGTATTACTGTAAATATGTCATGATGCTTACTTACATACTTACTCCAATCAGCCACAACAATAAAATCACCAGCCTGATGGGAATTAAAGGTTCTGACTCTCTGCAACATGGAGCTGTAAGGGTGTCCTGTGGTGTCTGGCACTGGGACATTGGCAGCATTTGGCCTCCGTAGTTCAGGATTTTTCTGCTGCATCCTATAAATTCTCAATCGGTTTGAAATCTGGGCTTTGGGGTGTTTCTGAAACTGTTCTGGAGCAGTTTTTGTGGTGTGGCAGTGGGTATTGTCCTGCTGGGGGAGCCCATTGCCCTCATGGATTTCCATTATCATTAGGGGTGTGATTGATCCGCAACAATGTTTAGGTGGATGGTTTGTGTCAACGTACATCAACATTAAAGCCCGAAACTAAGGTTTACCAGCAGAATACTGCACTGTAATGAGATGATCAATGTTATTCCCTTCAGCTGTCAGTGGTTTTATTATTGTGGCTCATCAGTGTATTCAACCTCCATCAGTTTTTCAGTTCTCTGTACAAACAGCAGATGTCAGTAGATAGAACGTTTTTAAAGCTTATTTAAGGCTGTATATGGTTTGGCAATGAATGTTACTGCTTTTAAAGTGACTGGTTGGATATTGTTTGATATATTTATCTGGAAATGCAAACATTTTGTTTCTCCCTATGAAATTATCAAAATAAAATAAAAGTATAAAATGTAGCCATGAGTGTTCATTCAAACTAATATCTGCACCATCAGATGTGACTGCAAGAAACACGCATTCAAGCCAGTGGGAATTTCACAAGTAGACCGGTGTGTGATTCAGGCTCCTGTGCACCTGTAACATTAACAAGACAGGGATAAAATATAGTTATCACCAAAAACAAAGATTTTCATCGACCTGATGGCACTGCACACTTCCTGACTCACGTCTACTTGAGGATATCAGCCAGTTTCTCCACATAGTAGTCGTAGTTCTCCTGACAGTCCTCCCATGGTGCAAAGCTCTGGTCCTCCTTCTCCACATATGTTTCCCAAACATGCAGGAAGTCAGACGGCTTCATCATTCGCAGTTTGCAGCCGGCACTGTGCAGAGCTTTAAGCCCCTCTACGATCTCTGGCTGCTCCCACTCAAAGAGTCGGGAGCAGAATATGCAGAGACGAAGCTTTTTGCGCTGCTGGAGGATGTTTGCCAGCTTGGCGGCACAGGCTACACAAGGACTGGATGATACATACCATGTGACATCATACTCTTGGGAGGAGTTGGGGAGCACCTAGAAAGGGGGGAGTGAAGTGGAGATTTATGTAGGACTAAAGGAGAGAAAGCTTACATTACTGTATCAGAAATCTGCCAGAAATCAGATCTCCTGTGGGATTCTCGTATGTGTAAGAAGACACGACAAACAGCTGAGTGAGAGCGTTCATTACCTGTTGAAAGAAGGCCACCTCAGCATGTGCTGTGGCATGTTCATCCTCCATATAACCTTTCAAAGGCTCTGTGCTGCCTCCTGCTGTATCCACTCTGAAGCACAGTAGGGTTTTGTTCCTCCCTGATGAGTACTCAACATTCCTGAACTGAAACTTGAAGTAGAACGGACTCATCTGTTCCCTGGCAGAGAGTTGGAGTGAAAGTTCTCATAAATCTAATATGAAGTTTTGTTTTCGTCATATTCAAAAGCAAGCGTTTCACAAAATGCTTTGACAGCACCGACCGTCATCGGGGTTAGTCCTATCGCCACGAAGGGTTTGTTAGCTGTGCTTTTAAAGTAATCTGTAACTGTTGAGTCACTTTGAAAGGTGACTGACATGACTATCCAGGTGAAATGGCATTCACTTGCTTGCCCAACACTGACATCATGAGTCACTCATTCTGTGATGAATTTGACACCGATCCAAGAAACAGAACTAAATAAAACAATCAGTGTACGCTATGGGGACACAGTGCATAGACTCAGGAAACCACAGATGTTTTTATGAGTGTTACACGCTTCATCCCAGAATCTGTAAACATGAAAGGCCCTGTATGGTTCGGTCACCGCACAAAGCGCACGCCTTCACCTGCCTGTCTTTATTTCTCTATTGTTATATTGCGCATGAAGCTCCAGATGGATCACACAGACAGACCTCTTATAGCTGTGATATCAAACAGGCTGTACTCAAAGGACAGAAAAAGGGGAACAGATGCTAGATGGAGTGATATAGCAGGGGCCGGCATCTGTGTTCGCTCTGTGACTCATCCCTATTCTTACCACTGGGTTAGTAAGGATGGCAGGTGCAAGTCACTAGTATCCTACGACGTAACATGCAGTTGAGGCAACAAAAATCATAGAAAAACATACATGAAACCACTTTCTCTATTCAACAAAGTTTCACATTATCTCAAAGCACAAACAGGTTAGAGGGAAACAAGTGTGTGTGTTAAAACAAACCCACCCTGTGACGATTTCAAAAGGCGGCAGTTCTATAGGCTGAAATTCTCCATTTTCTTCACCGTTGTTGGCCTCTGCTCCGGTCGCTCCTTCGCTTTGCCCGTTCTCTTTCTCTTCATCCGCCTTGGGCTGCTCGGGGGTCTTCTCCGGCTTCTTCGCAAGTTTGTCGGGCTTTTTCACAGTCTTCTCCTTTCCCTTTTCCTTTTCTTTGTCCTTGTCATCATTTGTTTTGTTTTCCACCTTCTTCTCTTTCCTCTTAACGCCCGACCGGCTGTTTCTGTCGGCCATGATTTTGTGCAAGTGAGTGAGAGCGTAAAGATAAAGAGAGGGGGTGAGATAGAGAGAGAGAGAGGAAAAGAGAGAGAGAGAGAGAGGGACGGAGTCAGTATAAGTGGAGTGATAACCCTAGTGCATATACAGAAATAGATCCTATTGTGTACTAAGGTTGGAGTCAAAACATGTGCATGCCTGGCTGGAGCAGGGGGTAGGTCACTTATTTAACTCACTCACTCTCTTTCCATGTCCCGGCTATTCAAAGGCCAAAAGGACAACACAAGACTGAGTGATACAGTGTGTTGGCTGATGAAGGTAGGATGAGACAGGTCTTAAATTTCTCCCCTGGTTTATACGGTTGCCAAATTAAGAAAGAGAAATAACGTATTCTGTACAGCGTTAAACGTAACGAGGGGTAGCTCTTTAATCCATCAGGCTCTAACTGTCAGCAGTCCAGCAACAGGCAGGTTATTAATAACAGCGCTTGGCTGTGTGTGTGTCTGTGTGTATGGGGTAACCAGGGCTCGCTAGACACTGAACACCACTTTTGTTTGTGCCAACTCCAATGTCCTGCAGCCCAACAGGCATTAGCAAGGCCAGCTAAAGGGCACCCCAAATAGGGGAATATTTGGAGCAGGGCGGCACAAACAAATGCAAACTCCATGTGTGAGGGAGTGTTTGTTTCTGTGCTGTGAATAAGAGTTCAAGAGTGCGCTGTGGCCTGGTGTGCATGTGCCCGTGAACAATCAATCTATGAAATCACCCCGCATCAATGTGGTGCTCTGCTGAGGCCATTGTGTGGGGGAGGGGAGGAATTGGTTTTATAAGGGTGTGTGTGTGTGTGTTTTTTTTTTGAGTGTATGTGTGTGCGGATGGAAAATGGCTTTCTGCACTGCAGATGTAATAACTTCAGGCATAAGGGAGAGGGCGGGAGGGAGGGGGCAGTTCAATTACAATTTCCTCCCCTCCCTCGGTCTCACTCTCTGCCAAGTAATTCATTTCAGAGGCAATTACCACTAGGACTGCATCCCAGCCTGGTCGTCTAACTCAAATGGATGAGCTGTCACAGCCAGAGGGGAGGGAGGGAGAGATGCTTCAAGCTGCTCCACATACACCCGCAAATAACAACACACCCATGGAATGAACCGAAAACACACATTTCAGAGACGAATGCGCTGACATATCCGCGCAGATAATCCAGCAACACATCTAAATCCACAGAGGCATCCTGGGGTGATAATCATTAAGATCACAGCAATCTTTGATAATTATGAGCTATGAGGGAAATCTCATTGTGTCTCCCGCAGATTAATACACTTGAAGTGCTTTTCAACAACAACAAAAACAGTTACACTGGGATAAAGCCGTGTTTGCAGCTGATAAAAAAACAACAACAAAAGAGCAAGATGTAAGCCTCGTGATAGTCCTTAAACTCTGCTCTATTCCGGTTCCTTTGCAGGTAATCGTCTTCAAACCGACTGCTTACTCCTTGTTAATCACAGATCATTAAACGACGTATTGAAACACTTGGTGCCTTTTCATGTAACGTTAGAGAACAAGTGCACAGGAGCTGCTGTACAGAGTCTGTTTCTGCCAGTTAAGTCTACTTGTAAGGTTTTGTGAGGCTAGTTGGCTGTGTAAAAAAGAGCTGTGTAGGACGTGACTACTGCCTGCCTGCTGACTCAAAATTAACTGTAATGGAATTACTGCAATTACCCTGCCTCCCTACTGGCCCAGCCCAGAGCAAGAGAGTCCCTGAATAAAGGCAAACACACACTCTGCTACATTCTCCTTCAGAATGACGCCCAGCAACATAGTTCTACAATATTTCTCTGAGGTCAGATAAAGCAAAGTCTCTGTTATTCCACAAGCACTTATTCTCTGCCAGTTTCCTGTGGCAGACACGGGGTCAAACCCATTTCAATTCCTCAAAGTTCAGCAGTAGAATTGGATGTGAAATTGAAAAAAAATAATAAAAAAAAAATGCTGATAATAAAAATGAAATGGAATTGACCTCAATTCAAATGACTGGCAGAGTACAATATAAACTAGAGTCAAAAATAGGACATAGGAAGCAGATTCCAGCTTAGAAAAATGTGTACAACATGAGTGCGCTTGCATCTGCAAATTGCACACACCTCTGTGTTAGGAACTCATTTATTATGATGTCCCAGTGATGAGGCACACATACAGAGAGAAAATCAATAAGTGGATGATGCACTAACATATTGTTTAGCAGTTAATATCTTTCTTCAAAAACAACATCAAACGAATCAATCCCTATGGTCATTGTTATATCAGTGAAAACAAATCAGATGCTACAGTATGCAAGAACTGCCCATTTGGTTGTTGTTGGCTTGATACAGACAGAAAACCGTCTTTTGGGTTAGAAAAGCAGAGAGCAGGGGCTTTGTGGTTATCTGGCGACCCTGATCAGGCAAAATAACGTCAAACTAAATGCTTTAGTATTGATCTGGCTGAAGCCCCCTTGGTGCAAAGCATGTGGTGTACTAGTCCGTATGCAGGCTACATGGTGGGCAGACAGTAATCTGCACCTAGTGTAGTCTGGAAAACCCATCTCAAGGATGGAAACTGAGTCGCAGCACTGAAATTCTGGCTAATGCAGTCTGTCTCATATCAAATGCTGTGCAGTATGAGAACTATGTACGTTGCTAGGTGAGCTTCCTCAAAGAGGAATAGAGGTTAGTATCCAAGAAGTAACTGTACTGCAGGTATAAAGCCTTTACTTGCTATTTAGGTAAAAGAAATGCTCAACTCTTAGCTCTTAAGTCCATAATAATCTGTAGTTAGCTTTGAGGTAGATGAGCGTCTCCAGGTTCTTTGGTAAGACACAGCCTCTCTCTGGCAGCAGGCAGCGCCCTGCTGTAGTGAAAATGCTCTCCACCACAGTGCCACATGCAGGTACGGTAAACGCTCTCTTGGCCACCTGGGCAAGCAGAGGAAAGTCAATCGCTTTACGCCGCCAATAATGCAAAGCCTCCTCATCTGTAGGTTCCTCACGAAGGTAGACGGCCAACTCCTGTTCTAGGCTCTTAGCCTGCGTATTGGGTCTCTGCTTGATGAAAGAGAACAGCTTGCAGGGACGAGACAGCGACGAGACTGGTGACGGAGCCGGGGCAGGAGGAGTCTGGGACTGAGGGTGAAGGTCAGTGTTGAGGTCTATGGGGCTGGAAGCCGCGGAATGTTTGGACAACTCCTCCACGAGAACTTGTCTGTGCCAGTCGGGGTTGCTGCTCCAAGTGAGCTTAAACTGGGGGTCCAGGGTGGTGGCAGTAATGTAGAGGGGGTTCTCCAGGATCGGGGACAGCAGACGCTCCACAGACTGGCTGAGGCCCACCAGCAGCGAGGGGCAGTGGGGGGTCGATGTCTCGGAGAGGTGCTTCCGGAGGCCCAGAACACAAGGCAGAGCCAGGCTGATGGACACATGTCTGTCTGTCTGTGCGTCTGCCTGTTTGTCTCCGTGAACCATATCCCAGGCCTCGGTGAAGGGCTCTAAAGTGTCAGTGAGCTCCCTCAGCAGGACTCTCTCTGTTCCACCCAGCGCCAGCTCGCCCGGACCACTCATCTCCTCCAGGAACTCCACCGAGTCCAGCAGCCGCCGAAGGACCTTCAGTAAAACAACGAACAAAAAAATTCACCTTTGTTGAGAAACGCTACCATTTCTCACAGCTACAAGCACATGTTCATTAAATTCACCTTCTTATGTATGTGTATGTTATACAATCAACACTGTATTTACACCCCTTCTTAGCATTTAATGCAAATACAGAACCACAAAAAAACACTAATGCATTATTAAGTACTTGTAAACACATACTGGGAACCTTGTGTCACCATTATTTCTGTGAAACATGTACAAGTGGTGCAACTGGTGGTGGTGCTATGGTGACAGTATATTATAATACTGTATCATGGTTGTAATCATATAAAACTAAGATAAATAAATAAAGACAGTCTTTTATCTGTTTGTAAATGCCTTATAATGAATAATTTAACTGTCTATACAGATGCTGAAATGGCTGTTTTGTATGATATAAACATTATTTAATAATATTCTAACTTGCCTTAAGCTGAGCAGCCCAGTCTCTCGCTGCGTCAGGGATACCTCCTGGACCCCCCATCATCAGCCCCGGACCGTCAAACACCTGGCTGAGTTTCTCAGGTGGGACAGCAGAGGTAATGTAGTTGTAGAAGCAGGCAGCCTTGGCCAGCGTGGAGGAGAGCTGAGGACAGGATCGCAGCCCCTCTCTGACACACTGCTCAAGACAGCGAGAGAAACAGTCCACCCGAGAAACCCCCAAACCCTGCTCCCACGAGTCCTCCCACTCTCCTTCCTCTCCACAGTCGCCGTGGCCGTTTCTGATGCCTTGCTCCACGTCGCTGCCGTTGTCCACCACGCCTTCGTCATCTCCGTCCTGACTGTTGGCGAGAGGAGTCGAAACCAGGAAACCAGGCAGGCAGCACGGCTTTACAGTTGCTGTTGCCAGGAAGGGGTCGGCGACAACCCGAAAGGCTCTCCCCGACACGCCGTGAGAGTGACACACCTCATCAAAATCTGAAAGCACACGACTCCCAGAGCTGCCACCAGTCAGCGGAAGGCACGCCAGGAGAGCCGAGCGCATCTGCCAGTCCGATGTGAGAAAATGGCAGGTGACACCGAGGTACCTACGGAGAAAGAAGTGGACTCTTCAGCGAGGGAATCAAACCAAGTTGCCATTTTGTTGCTGCTGGTTTATTTTACCTCCTTACCCTGAAGTGGCTCCAGATAAGCCCCTCCAGAGATCCAGGCTGAGACTGAGGGCGTGTGCCGAGGCCAGGGCCTGCCGGGTGGCTAGCTGGGCCTGGTAGGCGTAGGCTGGCAGGAGCTGGCTCTGGATGTAGTGCTGGGGCTCTGGAGTGTAGCGCGGCTCCAGGAGCTGAAGCAACTCTCTGAAGCCGTGATTCTCCACGATGGACACCGGCTGCAGGTCACGCACGATCATCTTGGCTATAGCCTCAGAAATCAAAACCTACAAACAAAAAAAACACATTACACTTATTATAGGTTTCAAACTGTGCAGCAGGATTTCATAAATAGCAGGACAGCTGTTTGGAAACTCAAAGCGTTGAGGGACTACTGCACACACCTGACGGGGGTCGTGTCTGTCAAACTTGGTCACCCCTCCTCCAGAGCCTCCTCCTCCTCCTGCTGCTCCCTCCAGAGTTCCCATTCCTGCAACACCTCCTCCTCCTCCTCCTAATCCTCCTCCGCCTCCTCCAGCGTTGATGGGGAGAGTGTAGCGGGCATTCCCTCCATTGGTGGTGAAAGTGTGCAGGGAACCGGAGGAGTAACCCTCTCTCTTCATATCCTTCCTTTTCACAAAGTCATCATACATAGCCTGGTGCTTCCGCTGAATGGGAGAGAAAATGTAAAACACTTGATTTACGAGTGTCTACATCACATTGCCTTCTATACATTTTTGTGGAAGCAGGTACAGTATGGATAACCCTCCACCACCACCTCCTCCAACCCCCTTTGCAGAGAAGCAACAGACTGTCTGTTCATACATCTGACCCTCCAGCATATACGCACAGAGATGCTGCAGGAACAGCTGATGCTGGCAGAACTATGAAAACACAGATACTAAGTGTTGACCAGCGGTCCCTGCATGTCAACAGGCACATGCAACGTTGCGTTTGGAAATCATTACCTTGAGATGCGTTACGAAGTTGGACGTGACGCTCCGCTTCGCCTGGATTCTGGTGCCACAAGCCTTACAGTTGGACTCGATTTTTCCATTTTCGCCCTCGAACACAATATTAAAGTAATCCAGGATGGACACCTTGGAGACTGACGCCATTGAAGCGATCGTTTTCCTCTGCTCCGGAGTGAAAATCAACTTGCGATCAAGGGCAATTGAGTCTGAGGCATCAATCTCACCTCGCCTCCGATCATGAGCGCAGGCCAGAGTGTTTACTTCCCCGATCCCTGATCAAGACATGCAAAAAAATAAAAAAAAATATGTTGTTGCGCAGACAAAGGGAAAACTGAATTTCATGCAGGAGTTGCGTCGCTTGCAGGTCCAACAAAAAAAAAAAAAAAAAAGAATCGACCACGATCGGGCTACACGGGCTGCTGCGGATGTCTGGAAACATCAATAATATAATAGTGAGGCCACATCCGCTGTTTTCTGCGCTCCCATCCGCCGTTCGGACGCAAGTGACGGGGGAGGCTGAGCGCTGCGTTTCATGGAGGCACACAGACAGTATTATAATTGGAGCAGGAAGTACCCACAATAAACGGGAGTTTCGTTTCCTATTTCGACAGTTCCCGGTAATGTTCGGCTGTCCCCGGTCAAAGCTGCTCGGATCGGAGGGTGGTGGTCAAATGTTTTCAATTACGCTCGTGTCGTTTAATGAGGCCACAGAGTTTTGTCCTCATATGGAAGCATTCCCGAAAGGATTTGAAATGAAAAACTGGATTCCTGTTTTGTGCTTCATTAAAAAAAAAAAAATCATACTGAAGGTTTAGATATTCAAAATCAAGCATCTGTTCTTGTAACTCTGTAGAAAAACCAACAAACACTAAATAACCGCATGAACACATCATGCAGAGGCTGTTTGAAAGATCATTTGGAACAACTGCCCAAAAAAAAAGGCATCCTTCTTAGAAAGGTAATGATTGTAATAATGGCTAATGAGTAAGTTGTTTTTACAGTTTTTCCATTCTGATAGAAATCTTTTATAATATGAATGAGATGTGGCTGTCAGCCTGGGGGAAAAAAATATCTTTACTGGTTGATTTAAAGTTTCTTTGCACAAAACAAAATAAAACAAATGAATAAAATTTAAAGATAGTAAACAGACTTAATGTAAAAATAGGCATAGCAAATGTCAAATAAACTTATGTGTCCTATGAGGGATAAATGACATAAAATGCTTAGAATGATGTGAAAATTAATTAGGAAATGAAATGTCATTATAATGACTTCCATCCATCCATCCATTATCTATACACCGCTTAATCCTCAGTGGGATCGCGGGGGGCTGGAGTCTATATAATGACTTGAGTATAAAACAATCTTCAGTCATTTCACAAATGGTTGGTTCATTTATCTATAATTTACATTGAAAAATATATATTTATATGCCTATTTCTGAATATCATTTTTATTCATTTAACATTTTAGGGTTCCATAAATCTTGAAAAGGGCTCCACAGGATCTGGACCAAACTCTATTTAATCACAACATTTATTAACAGATTAGCAGCACTTTGACTACAGTATTAGCAGATTACCAGCTTTCTACATGGTGCTAACTTGAGTTTGTTAATGGATCAGAACTGATCTATGAAGCACCAGTAAACGATTAATTACAACTTATAAAAGCTTTATAGAGTGGTAGTACCAACCATTTATTTAAAAAAAGTTCTGTTACTATTCATAGCATTCCCTGTTAACGTCTAACACACAATTAATTTAGCATCAGAAATCTTCAATACAGTACTTACTTAACAGCTAAACAGACGACACAAATATCAATCACAACAGCACAAGATCAGACATAATCTAATACCAGTCAGTCAGGCAACAGGAAACGCTACGTCTGTGATGTCCACTTCCAGTTCCACCAGGAGGATCAGTGTTGAGTTCATTAGACCCTGAAGCATAATCTACCGACTCTCTGTGGCTGAGCCTTTCTTCTGGAGTGTGTGTTTGTTTTTCAAGCAGTCCTTCAGCTCCTGTCTGGTGTTTAAAACTGCAATCTGGAGCGTTGCAATCTCAGCAGACAGTTCTATGACTGCGAAAGGATGAAGAATGACAAACAAAGAGTTACCAGCAGTACGTGAAGAACTGTTCATCTTGCACACATGCATACAATGATCATTGTCTACAGAAAAATGACAGTTGTATTTTTGTATCCGGGAATTGGATTTGTTGTACACTTTGAGTGATTCATAGAACTGTATGTCTTTGTTTGTATTAATCTATTGTTGTGCATACACTCATACATGTATACCCTTTACATACAAATACTATGTGCTGAATACATATACACACAATAACCCAACATGGATGCAAGCTAAAGCACACTGCAGCTAAAGAAAAATCATGCAAAGCACATGTAAATAAACAAAACACAATCAAACAAAGAAAATGGCAATAATTGGACAACTGTTGCAGCTGAATACATGCTGCCAACATGCTTCAAATATGGACAAGTTGCAGAGAGCAAACCTGAACTCATAACCAAAGTAAAATGTGTTTCCAGAAGACACACACACACGATGATCCTTCAACACTTTTATGTCTACGGCAGCCTAAATAACAGAAATGTTAGCCAGCATTGTATGCATTTTACCAGTTAATTTGAACTGGAGCAGCTGGTAAGGACAAAACTAACCATAAAAAATACCTACAATAATTTTTGAACACTGCGATCAGAAAGTCAAAATAGAAACAAATCATTGTGTTTTCTGTATTTCAGGCACACTCCACTGCATCTGTGTTGTCAAAATCAAGAAACATATTTCTCGAATCACCCATGTTTTATGTCTTTGCAACATGTTTTGCTAACTATGTTGTCATAATAACATGTAGTGTACTTTGTGGGTTTGCATGTGCTTTCTTTTTTCTTTTTTTTTTTTTTATAAATGTCTTTATATTAAATACTCAGTTTGAATTGCCCCTAGGGGATAAGTGAAGCTATTTTAATTTAATTTAATTGAACTGAATTGTACTGAACTAAGTTGCAGTGTGTTGAGTTGTCAGCGTAAGAATCCTAGGAAAAAATAAACTGGCATAATTAGGGATAAAATGTGCACAACTGATGAAACAAGGCTGTTTTGGTAAGTTGGGTCTGGTGCAGTTTTCATAAAAGGAAACTGTTTACATCACTGGCAATATCTAGTACCCTAACCGTCCTGCTATACCTAGAAATAAGCCCATATTAGTTTAACCAGCGTCGCTTTACCCTGTAATAATGCTTGATCCTGTAATGCCATACCTTGCTTGAATGACGACTGCGCTTGTTTCAGAGACTGTGGCACCAGAATCCCAAACCATTTCAGAGGATCTTGCTGTGGATCGTGGTCACTTTTTCTGACTGGATTTGCTTCAGGAGCCTTCTTGCTACTTGCATCCTCGCTTGCCTCTTTTTCTCTGATATCCTTTTTTGGTTTGTTTCTTCTCCTAACACCTGTAAAAATCAAACAGTATGATGATTTTTTAAAAAAGCTGTTAGTTTTAGACAGATATGAACGGCACACATTTTTAACACATAATCACCTTCTTCTTGAGGCCCAACATCCTCTATAGGTAAATCTTTTGCAGACTCTTTACTGGACTTTTGTGTCGGTCGCTCGGTGCAGAATTGGACTTCACCGTTGTCCTGCGTTCTGTCACGCAGAAATACAATCGTGAAAAACTTTAAGAAATGTAAAGAGCACAGTAATTCACCTGGAAGCGGTAATCTCCACGTAACAAGGCTTATTTCTTACCGAGCGTTAACACAGACCAGCGGCTCAATCTCACTTGCATACTGAAGTGCAGAGACTTGTTTGTTTCCCATGGAGTACCGTGCTTTGGACATTGAAAACCATCCCTTTTGGAACACAAAATAGAAATTTTACATTACACAGAAGTGCTAAAATGCATCAAAGGAAAACACAAGGCTTTAAACTTTAAAAGGATGTGACAGAATCAGAATAAGCCGAACTATCAGGCTGATAAAAAAAGATGAGCAGCAGTTAGGGAGGGCAATACACTTTCTGACAAAAGTCACAATTGAAAACAGCCAGCGCAGAAACTCTGATAAATAGACTTGCAATTTTAAAATTACAAAAGTAGGTGAATATCTAATTATACTCCAGTGCCAAACTAACACACAAAAAAGCCACTTAATGGTTTCGTCTGTTAAATGTTAAATATACAAAAAAAATTTACCGTGATAAATTCCTACAGCCCTAAACATTACTCATCTTCACTAAATTATCAACAAATTGATTAATCAACCAATTAACTAGTTATTGACAGTATTACTCCTTTTTTATTGTAGTCTTATATTAGCTTACTTATTGTTATTTTCAGAAAAATACGGCATGTATATCTTATTACTCTTCTATTAGGCACAGCATTTATTCTCATATCTGGCACAAGATTAACACAGTTCTATGTTATCTCAACAGTTTCGCCTGTATGTCTTCAAGATCGCGTCTTTAAGGTTGTTTTAGTGCAGAAATTACACATTCCTAAGCACACACTTCTAAAGATGTGCGTCTGGGTTGGAGGAAAGCTTGCTGAAAACCACATTACAGATCCACAATGTGCGATTATCTGTGCTACCTGCTCAATGAGAGAGTTGAGAGTGGCTCGTTTCTCCTCCAGTGACTCGAGCTGGTCCATGAAACGGATCAGCTTTTCGTCCAGTAGCAAAGAAGACTCTTCTTCTTCTGACACACCCATGCCGATACTTTGAAGTGGCTCCAGTACTTTCTCATACAGTCTTTACCGCTGGTAAGCAGTTCGACGCTCGAATAAACCCGAAACAAACCCCAACAGACGTACTTCCGTGTTCTATCATGTGACACGTGTAGTCACGTGACTTACATCACGCGTTCGTAAAACGTTCCCCGCTGTCAAGAAACATCGGAAAGCTTATACGTCTGTGTTTTAGGTTCGACAGTGTACCGTTGAATAATTGTACGTAATCATATATACATAATATTATGATGTCAACCAAAAATAACGAAAACTGAAAACGTAATGTTACATCATTCTCTAAACGGTAGAACACTTCACCTTTCCCCGTAAATTCTAATAACAGACTTTAAGGTTATCAAGGTTACTACACTATAGTTATGAAGGTCCAGCTGGGTTAGAGGGAAAAGGTAAGTTAGGTCACCGTAAATTCAAGACAAAAGGGAAGTCGTTCCCATACCGGGAGTCGAACCCGGGCCGCCTGGGTGAAAACCAGGAATCCTAACCGCTAGACCATATGGGACCACTTGTATACAAGCTAATGGCTATTCATTTTAAAGGAACAGTATGCCATTTTACATGTGTTCTCGAAAATTTGCTACTCCATTTTTTTAAAAGGTATAATGAGCAATGTTTAAATAATAATAACAATGATATTAACTTAAATATCTAAATTAGTAAAATGACTGTCTTAAACTTACATTCACTTGTATCCCCCCGTTACTCTGACTGCAGACTGCTCTTCACATATGTTCTTCTTCAGGTCCAACATCATCGGTAGGTCTTACATCTTTTCTTTATACTCCTCTTTCACTGCAGAATGGGATGTTTCCTTTATCCTGCATTTTGTAGCACATAAATACAAGTCATAGAATGCTTTCCAAAACTCCAGAGAGCACAATAATTCACGGTGAATAATTAGTTTCCATTACAAGTCTAATTTCTCACCTAGAATTCAATCAGACCAGGCTCAATCTCACTTGCATACTCAAGTGTAGACTTTTTTTTTTTTTTTGAACATATATGATTTTATTGACAACAATCAAGCTTCCAGACTCAGTAAAAAACGAATTCAAATTGAGCAGTTAAAGAACAAAAAAAGATAAAATAGAGACAGAACATTGAAAACCAATTAAGTAAAATACAAAAAAACACAATTACATTCAATTTAAATTGCAAAAGGAGATAAAAAATAGTGCGATTATATCGTTCTAAAGTTTAAGTGCCTTCTTTCAGATACAGAATTTTAAAGACTCTCTCAGGGACGCCAGCTCACATAGCAACACATTAAAGGATGGTTGGACTAGTAAATTTGCATTTGTGCTTTAAGGATTTGTCCACAATAATGCTGTGGAAGCCTAAATCTATTTCTTTTGTTTTTGGATTTGGTTCTTATTTTGCTATGATTATTTCTTTTTGGTTTTGATTTGTTGTTCTACTTTGTTTTATGATTTGTGGTAATTGTTTGGTATTGGTTATGGTTAACATTTTTTATTTTGCTTAATTCATCTTTTATTTGGTTAAATAATGTTAATCATATTTCGAAGGGATTGCGTTCTGTGTTAGTGTGGTGTTTTTGGTTTACTGATTTATTTTTTTGATATGTTATGGCTTCCTATACCTGGGTCACTTAAATTCATGGGTAAAGCTCATGGCATGGAGCCAAACAGTTTTTTGACCACTTTGTGTCCCTCGTTTTTCACTGTATGTTTCCTTTTGCAAGTTTGTCTGATTACTTAAGTTTTTTAAACCACAACCTGGTCTCAGTGGATTTTATGGCAAGGTTAATACAATGTGGATTTTTGGAAATGCTAAGGGTGCAGTGAGTCAAGCTGGGCTTCATGAGCTTCAGATCCTAAAATACAATTACTTAATATAAAATCCTAATTTTTCTCTTTCAAAGTGACTCCAAATTTAATTTCTTTGTATGTTAGTGGTAATTGATACAAATCATTATGAAGAGCCCAGGCACAAAAACTACCCCAGAAAATCTTTGAAAAAGTACAAGAAAAGAAAAGATGTTCTTCTGATTCAATGCTAGTGTCACAAAATTCACATTCATTATCATCTATGTTAAATTTGGAGTGTAAGAATTCTTTTCTGGAATAAATGTTAATTAAGTGCAGACTTGTCTGTTTTCCAGTGGAGTACCGTGCCCTGATCATGGAAAACTTCACGTTTAAGACACACAAAGTAATGACAAACTGACAAGGCAGAAAAGCCCTGCAGAGGATAGTCTGAGGACAGTTTGAGGAGCTGAGAGGGTCATCAGAGTTTCCCTCACCTCTGTCTAAGAACTTTTCCAGAGCTGCTGCAGGAGCAGGGCACTAAACATTGTCAGGGACTCCTCACACCCTCTTCATACACTGTTTGAACTGCTACCATCAGCCAAACGTTTCCGGAGCATTAAAGGAAGAACCTCCAGAATGATCAACAGCTTCAAGTCACAAGCTGTCAGAATGCTAAAATGCTGATCCGGGTATGCAAACACTTCTTTATTTAAATTACTTTAAGTTATTGTATCCCGAAGAAACGCTCTTTCAACTTGCCTGTAGCAAGGTTGTTTGTACAGCAAAATGACAGTAAAAACTTGATTTTATTTGACCTGAAACTACCGCTACGCAAAAACGTCCTCCTCCGTTCAGTATCATAAGCCCTTCCGAGCCCACTCTGAACGTGTCTCCCAGTAGCTCGCCGTGATCGTATAGTGGTTAGTACTCTGCGTTGTGGCCGCAGCAACCCCGGTTCGAATCCGGGTCACGGCAGGGATAAGATCCCTGGCACGGCTTGGGAACACCTTTTTTTCTCCTTCCCATACAGATAGATGATATAAGTGAGGAACTAGTTCAGCATTTTAATCGATGTAGCACCCAGACATCTGCATTTAGTATCGTTTTAAATGTCTAGTAACGTGGGAGTTTTGCCGTGTCACTTAAGGGCTGAGGTTCGGCCACATCGATCTGGCTGTTTTAGTTACATGTATTTGTTTCGTCTTAGATAAAGTACATATCGTTAGTTGCAGAATCATATCCAACTCCAATATTTTCAAATAAGCTGCCGTAATTCACCCTTCACCGAAATACTTTATGACTTGCTCCAGCAAAAGAGGGGCGGGTCTTCAGAGCTGCGAGACACGCGTTGATTGGTGGTTGCCCACGACAACGTCCATGTTCCGAGACGAAGAGCCAATCAGTGAGCCAGTAGATCGCATGTGCCACTAGCTCTATACATGCAGATGTTGGATTGGTCTTTGCAATCACACGTAGCCGCCCCCATCTGAATGGAGTTCCGCGTTTGAGTGTATGTGCAGTCGTGCATTGAACTACACTGCATGTTTGAACAGTACGATATTCACATTTGTCAATTAATCTCTATTTAATCAGAGGGAATCAGAGATTGAACTCACCGCAGCTGGACATCTATTCTGGTAGCATCACTGGTAAGAACGAGAGACACACTGATTATTGCTTTTACCTGCACAAAGGTCTTTAAATAACCTTTACCCCTAGTAATCTGGTTTGTTACAAATCACCAATACATTTGTAAATCTAATGCATCTATTAAGCTGATTTATGCACATTGTGTTTAATACAACATTGTCACATCAATCAGCTTATTGATGTTTGAGCAAGTGCTGATCACCCTGTCTTCAAACAGATGATGGACACCGCTGCAGCAGTTCTCCATCCTTACTGGCCACGGGACCTCCTGATTCCCACCTACGTGGCCAATGATCGCTCTATGTCAGAGATCCTGGCCTTTTTATTTTCCGTGTCTGGAGTGTTTCTGCTGGTGACCTGGCTGATCACCGGCCAGAGAGGAAGCACTGGCAGCCTGGGGACATGGAGACGTCTGGCTGTGTGCTGGTTTGCCGTTTGTGGCTTCATCCACGGCGTCATCGAGGGCTGGTTCTCGCTGTATTATGATATTATTCCAGGAGACCAGAGCTTCCTGTCACAGCTGTGTGAGTACTCACTGGGGAAAACATGTTTAGAAAAGTGTCATGGTGGAGTTTTCCAGTGCATCTTGGGTCACTGTTTGTTTTACTTTCTGTCACAGGGAAGGAGTACTCTAAAGGAGACAGTCGATATGTAATGTAAGTTAGTTTTGGCACAGAATTACTTTTAATTTTGACGTTTAAAAAAAAAAAGAAGGAACAAAGCTGTTACTAATAATGTCTTTCCTACCCAGAGCTGATAACTTCACTGTTTGCATGGAGACTGTGACTGCTTGGTTATGGGGACCGTTCAGCTTTTGGGCTGTATATGCCTTTTTAACCAACAGGCCCTACAGATTTGTGCTGCAACTCATCATTTCATTAGGTAACAAAAAGCTGTTGCTTCTCAGAAAGTTCTTAATAGATGATTGTTTGTCATACTTACATGTTGTTATTACATAATCTGTCTCCAGGTCAGCTGTATGGAGCGGTGCTTTACTTCTTCACAGAGCACAGAGATGGCTACGCTCACAGCGAGTTGGGACATCCAGTCTACTTCTGGTTCTACTTTGTGTTCATGAACGCGTTGTGGATCGTTATACCGCTTTCGCTCATCGTGGATGCATGGAGACAGCTGTCAGCGGCCCAGACACAAACAGACAACACAAAGTCACACAAGAGTAAAAGGAAATGAGCTGCAACAGGCCGAACAGACTGTGGGACTGTTGGACACTGACTACAGGGATACAGGACCACTGGGGAGCAAATGTTTCTATATTTTTGAATAAAAAGATACAGCAAAAGAAATTGAAGTTGCATTACGTCCCTTTTGAATTTGAATATCAAATCATTGTCAATACACTAAGAATTTCATGTCATTGCAACCTTTCTTTGTACTTCTGTCAGTGAAGCTTTAAATTTTGTTGCTGAGCAAAATAAATCACATGTTCATTTATAACACCACCTTTAGTTTGTTTAATATTTGGATGATCTCATGAATAGACTGCTTCGAGATATAGTATTTACTGTCTTCGAATGGAGTCAATTTTCCAATGGTTGATTAAATAGCATAAGTATTGTTATGTACATGGCAAGAACAGACAGTCAAGATGCACTGTACTGGACTGCTTCATTTATGTAGTCCAATTAGTTTAATATGTGTAACGTCCTTTCCATATACAAGATTGGTTACGACTGTTTATGTGCTTTTGCACCATTTGACATAAAGTGTACTTCAAATTGATGACCACTGCTACACCACAGCATTTTACATCCCTGAATGGGTTGATTCTATCTTTAAAGAAGCCTTCAAAAAAAATTAAATAAAACAATTCATAATAGAAATGAACCCCTACAGCTGGAAACTTCGAGATAGTTGACGTACCCCAACTACAAAATTACCTTTGTATTCTTATGCCACGCAAACTTTTTTTTTATTGTTTAGAAGATTGTTTAACTTAGATCGGTTAAACTCTGCTGGTAATATTGCTTTACAAGACGTAAACATATGGAAAACAGAGCTGTATATATGCTTGTGAAGTTTTCGTATTCAGGTACGTGAAAAGCTGTAGACTGTGATAATATAAACGCTGCATTATGTCTTAGAAACAGAAGGCTAAAAACATGCACCAGGCTTCTTTAGATAATTACAAGAGCTAGTATTTCAAATAATAGGTAAGTCAACAGTTGCAAACTTTTACATACTCTCCTACCTTAATAAAAGCCTTACCTTTGTAATTTCCCCCCCCCCCCGCAGGTTCTTGCGATCCACGAGATCATCTTAACATCGATAGGTCTAATTTTCTTTACACGTCACATCAGGTACATACTACGGGTCGTTAACGCCGCGCCGAAATAGCTCAGTTGGGAGAGCGTTAGACTGAAGATCTAAAGGTCCCTGGTTCGATCCCGGGTTTCGGCATTTTGTCGCACCACAACACGGGAGCCCCTGCTAAACAGGACAACCCATGGTACAAACCTGACACCTTGCGGTCGGTTACATCAACTACAATTGCATTATTTCTGACTAACTACACAAACACTGTCATGCTCTCATTCATGCATCACTCTTGTGTGATTACATTGCTCCAGAATAAACTATTAACATGTGGCTTTTACTTTAAAGTTACATTCAGGAAACTCACACACAGCATAGAGTTAAGGAGGAGAAACGTGCATCTGCAAAATAATGACTTTACATTTGGATAAGCGGCTGCGGTTGCATTCATATTTATTGGTGACTGATGAGAAGTACGAATTGTTTCACAGATCAGATTTCATCTTCAGCTGAACATTTTGCTGAGTCTGAGTCCCAGCTGTGCATTTGTCTCTTTCTCTCTACTTGCTATGTCTTTAAGCGCCTTCAAAGCAGCAGGCAATTCTGGCTGGAGCTCCAGCAATTTCCTAAATGCCCGTTTGGCCTCCTCTAGCTCGTTCACCATCTGGCATGCTTGGCCCAGTCGGTACCAGGCTTTAGCGCCACCAGGTTCCAGCTGAGTGGCTTTTGCAGCGCTGGCCTTAGCCCGCTCCGGTTGGTTCAGTTTAAGCTGGCACAGGGACAAGTTCGAGTGAAGTTCTGCTTTGATAGTTCTGAATTCGTTTGCTGAAGGAAGCTGTTGCGTGTCACCAGCAGTGTTTGTGTTCCTCTGCTCCTCTGCTTCATTCTCATGCCCTTTTTTCTCCACATCTCTAAAATGGCCACAGAGAGTGATGAGGAGTTTGAGAGCCTGGCTGTAGCTTTGTGCGGCTCCCCACACATCCCCACTCCTGAATCTTACGCCACCCCTCTGCTTGTGTGACTTCACCCACTCCCATTTTTCACCAGGAGACATTTCCCAGGATTCCTTGCCTGGTGTGAAAGCTTGGAGTTCGACTGTGGCGCACAAAAGAAGGTTTTCATCTGAGGGATGTGGAAGAGTGACATCTGCTCCATTCCCCACTTGAGACAGATGTATCTGGGTAGAAGAAACACAATAATTACACTTGCAATATCACTAACTGCATTATTTGGCATGACCAAGTCAATTGAGGGGCTGCCTTCAGTACACTCAACCTTATAAAATAATATTCAAATGATAAAACTGCTTATAGCAGTGCACCTGATCTGTTGTGCATAATTTAAGTATACGGATATCAGGATATTGATGAGAAGATTTTCAGCGTCAGTTTGTATCACAATATTGCAAATATCACAAACACACATAAAGCAAAAGACCACGATTGAATTTTCCCAAGGGGATGAATAAAGTATCTATTTATCTAAAAGTTGACATACGCTAACACTGAATTACAGCCCAGCAGACTCTTACCTCACATTTCTCTCCAGCTCTCATCCTCTCCAGACATGCTTCTGTGACATCACACTGACCCTCTCCTAGCTTCAATGTTGTCCAGTCGCCCAGTGGGATCTGCAGGACAGAGTCTTTGCACCTCAGAAAAGGTGTGGCAACTGACTCTGTAACTTCACTGACTGACCGGTCAGGCTCAACCTCCAGCTTCTCACTTCTTCTTTCAGACACTGAGCTCTCTGCTTCACCGACGCTACCTTTGAGCCGCACTCGAACTCGGCACAGCGAACCCAACCTTGGATAGTAACCAGGTGAACATGCTAGAAGAGACAAAGACACTTTATGTGAGCTATATTACCAGATAATTGATGCATTTAAATTCTTATGAAGAGGTATTTATTTAGTTTATATTTAAAATGGAGATTGATGCTATTTAGCCAGTTAGCATGTGCCAGATTTTCTGTCGCTCTCGTTACCACTAACTAAAGTGTACTGGATCAGTTGCACACTCCAGCTACTAGAGATGTAAGGAAAAGTAGTGTCAGAAAAGCATCATACATGTACCATCGACAGAACTTGAAACAGTCTGTTGACTCCCATCGCACATTCGCTTTTGCTGGACATTCCACAGGCCTCTGGGACACACTGACACCCAGGAGGCGACACTGATGGCATCGTGATCACCACGACCAGGCAGTGTTTCCAGAGGGTGAAAGGACTCCATCACTGGGTTCAGAAAATATACAGAGAAAAAAAAATAAGATTATTAAAGTTTTGTTTTTAAATATTCAACTTAACATGACAGTAAACATTTACATAAGCTGACATATAGAAGTAAGGACTAAATGTTGGGGTTGCTGCTTTCTAAGACACCATTTAACCTTTGTTTTGTGTTTGACACTAATGTAAATATGGGACTGTCATCTCTTTCAGTATAATCACAGATAGAACACTCATTGTTAATGTCTGGAACAAGCTAATATACCAGAAGAAGTGATTTACATAAATTATCAGTGTCATACACTTGGAAAATAATTATATGCCATAACACAAGAAAAACAAGAAGAACTAGATTAAGTCTGGCAAAGTTTCCAAACTTAACATGGTTGAAATTGATTTTTTCCCCTACTTTCTTGTTCTTTACTTTCAGTTTAAACAGGTCACACAAGCAAAAACGAACGCAGCCTAAAACAGCAGTAAATGTTAAAAAAAAAAAAAAAAAGTTAATTTATTCTTAAAACTAGTTCGGAGTGTTTATATGAACTTACATTCAACTGGTTATGCTGTTCGGTTCTATTAAGGGACTTTGAGAGGGGTTTCTGTTATTTTGTCCACCCCATTTAAATCAATAAGACTAACTAACTAACACTCGTCTCTTTACAATTATTACAGCTAAACAGCTCCAGAATCTGTAACCTCCTAAGTGGCCATGCAGTTGAATAACACCTTTGTAAGACAGCTCCAACAAAACAGAACACTACATGAAAGCATGACTTACTGCAACCCTGCTGGGTTAGATAGGTGTACCTACTAAACTGGAAACTATATGCTCATGAAATATTGTGAAACCTGTTACAGTAACTTTGCCCTAGTGTGTGAGCAAGTGTCAACATGCCTATTATCACCATGCTTTGCAGTCAGACTCACAAAATCAATACTGAGAAGAAAAAAGACCAAGCAGCAGTTTGATTAGCACTCAGCGTTAAAATCACGTCATTGTTGCTACATTATTAAGCTAACATTAGCAACTACCTTATGAACAACTATCATAACAACAGTTACAAAAGGGACAGGAATTTTGTACTTTAAGCGGAAGTGTTGCTACTACACACACGTAGCTATAGCCAACATTAATTCAGCTAACAGTACTTTAATTTCTATACAACACTGGCAGCGTCGTACTTTTAATATCAAATAAACTGGCGTTAGATAGCATCAGACAGCTATCATACAGAACACCTGTGTTTGGTTACTCTACACGAGCCACACTGACAGGCCGTGTGTGGTTTAAAAACATCCGTCTTACCTCATTGACAAGTATGATACCAAACAGCGCGTTGACACAAAGCACCAAAATAAAAAGGTGGATGAAGTCAAAGAATACACATAAAAACAAATGTAAGTACTTCTTCTTCTACGCCTTCTGCCGCTTCTGCTTCTTCATTGGAGGCGGACGGTTGGACGGAAGCCGATGGGGAGGTGCATTACCGCCACCTACAGCCCTGGAGTGTAATCACGCATCATTTATACTAAAGTTTTTTTTTTTTTAATGTATTTTTCCTTCATGGCAGAAGACAAATATCCTTACCTATGTTATGTTATTTCTAATAGCAATACTACAGTGTCAAATGTCAGTCTTCTATCAATAAGCTGTTTCTCTAGTCTTCCAGATCGACACAATAAAACCAAGACAAATCGGGACAAAATAGGGCAAAACAGGAAAAAGTACACAATATTCCTCGGGGTCAAAGGGCAAGTGTGTGAGCAGGTAAAAGAAATCAGCCTTGTCTAACTTAGTGGTCTTAATTGTTCTCTATAAATAAATAATTCATTTTTTTTTTTTTAGGTGTACACACATTTTTTCCTCAGATTTTCTTCTTCTTTTGCTCACTGTGATGTCTACCACTGCACATTTCACTCTTTTCAGAAAGCTGTCTTCTCAACACATCCAGATTTTTATATGCTGTATGGATGCAAGTCTATTTAACAGTTTTTTTTTGACTGTGTATGTGTGCTGAGTAAGGTGTGTGGGATAGATAAGTAATAAAAATTCTTCATACAGTTTGCAACCTCATTGCTCAAACTTATGTGACACGTTACTAAACATAAAAGATTTGGTGGTAATAGTTGGTGTTTGGGCATATATGTGCATAAAACTGCAGTGCAGATGTATAAAGTCAAGTTTACAGTATTTCATATGTTAAATGACCACACAGGCTTCAGAAACGGCTTTGTACCTTACTTCAACTTACTAGAGCTTCCAGTCTCAAAGAGACAGACGCACATACAGAAACAATTTACATCTCTGTCTGTGTATTGACCTTTGACTTGCACCACTCATGTTTAAGGCCTGTGTGTTAATCTGTCCTGTCAGTATGAGTTAAGGCCCTATCGTTTGAACATGAGAAGCCATTAGGTCTATCAGAGGAATACCACACTGGGCAGCGAACATGTGTTGTGTGTGTGTGTGTGTGTGTGTGCCAGAGAGGGAAGCAGAGACAGAGAGGAAGACAGTTGTCAGAGACGCAATCTGTCCTTTTATATGGGGCCTGTTTGACCCTTGATGACGAGACAAGGTAGTAAACCTTCAGCAGTAATGAGATTGCACTGCCGGATAACAAGAACCATGCATGTTTTATTATTAGGGATGCAGAGGGGAGAATCACCCCTCTACATGTGTCCAGGAGTTCATGAACCTCGGATAAAATTCAAAACAACAAGAATCTTGCTATTATTTAATTCAGTAAGAGCAGACCAGTGGACGAATGACAGATCATAGCTGTACTTCCTCAGCTTACAGTTAACAAAGGCAGCCTGGACTGAAGAAAAACTTCAATTATGCCAAATTCAGCTTTCTCTTTTCAGAGTAATCTGACATTGTTGTGTGTAAATTATGTAAAGTGGACTTCAAAAGATTGAGCTTAGTTGTCTCACAGTATGAAATAGAGATTCAGGTTGAGGCATTTAATCAGTTGGTCTCAGGGGGCTTCACACTGGGACATACTGGATATAACTGGTAGATATTCTCTTTTATGTTGAAGGAAGTGAGCTGCAGTTATTCACAGAATGAATTATAAGGAAACAGAAGTGACAAATAAACATCAATGGCAATGACTGTGAGCTGGAGCCAAACCCCATATAAAATGATAGGACAGTGACTCTGTGATTGGAAGGCTGACGAAACAAAACGTTTTCTGAACATAAGCCTCATAAATATCTCTCTTCCTCTCATTTGTTTCCAGTTGTCAAACCTAAAAAAAAAAAAAATAGAACTTTCCAGAAGGGGTCTCCCTCTCCCCAGCATTACAACATACCATGGACACATAAAATACAGATCACATTTCCCAGATCATGTGCAGTGTAGTCACTAGCTGGCTGCTGTGGTACAATTTTAGTTATTTTGCAAAGAACTGTGCAGCTTTGTAGCATGTGCATCACAATGC